TCCTGGGGGCAAGTTGCTCCAGGCGAATGCACTGAGGGCGTTCGTCTTGGCGTCGGGAGTACTACAGCGATGGAGGATCAGGTCGGGGAGGCGCCTCGTAGTGTTGAGTGAAGGGAGGCTGCGGAGGACGAGCAAAGGTGGAGTATGTCAAGGCCGGTGCTTCCTGTGTGGCTTCGACAGGGACTTCTGGCTAGAGTGATCATTCGACTACTTCACGGAGAGTGTCGACGGTGGAGAGAAATGCTGGACGACCAGCGGCAGGCAGCAGCTTTCGGAGTTCCCCGCAAGCGATTTCTAGGATTATGTCACGAAGGTTGTTGCCTCCAGCGCTGAGCTCGGCGTACGACAGTGCGAGGGTTGAGGCCCCGCCGTGTCGGTGGCAGTGGCGGGCTCGGGCCTCCAGTGCTCGCTCAATGTTGATTGCCTCGGAGACAAATCCATCAACCGTCATTGGGGGTTACGAACGAGGCCGTCGAAGATGTCGTCAATTACGCTGCGCATGAGGACTTGTAGCTTCTTCCCTTTTGTGGCCTGAGGGTCGGCGCGGAAACTCAGGTGCAAGACATCTTCAACGAAACTAGGGACGGTCTCATTCGAACTTTGCGTTCTCTACCGAAGCAGGTTTTCAGCTCTCTTTCGTCGATGTTAACTTGAAAACGCCCGTCGTGGACCGCCGTTGAGCAGTTTCCAGGAGGTGATCATCGTCTCGTGGTTTTCGTACCCGTGTCACGCCATTCTCACAAGGAAAAGAAAATACATTCTGCAGGCACTGTTCCGGCGTCCACCCATTATTAACAGCCAGTCGTTCATACAGCTGGATCCAGTCGTCAACGTGTTGGCAAATATTCCCGAGGAATGAAGCAGCTCTCCAAAGGACAACGAGCAGGAAGACAAGTGGGGGCGGCGACAGGGGTCTGCAAAGATCGATCGCTCATCGTCGGCTTCGTCGACTGGTGCGTCTTCTCCGGCAGTAGACCAAATTCCGGGGACAAACATTGAACACGGCGTCTTCTTTGGGTCTTTGTAGTTTCCATGGGCGGTTTTCTTGAGCCGGCGACAGGGCTTGCGCTTCCAGGTCTTGGAGGGGTACGCTGCATGAGCTGCACTTTTCCGCCCCTATACCAGCATATCACGAATGACAGATGGTGACCCAGGAGAAAGAAGTCTGAACAAAACATTTAATGGGGGCGAACTTGTGCCAGCAACGTAGAGGAAGAACGGACGTCGAAAAATCAGAAGCGAGCTTTTACGACGGCAGCAGCAAGCGATTGTACGTTTTTATAACAGATGACTATCGCCAGAGAGAACCTTAAATAAATCGGCTATACGGCGCACGACTCTTTATCTACTATGCCCGTTATCTCCAATACTGGTCCTAGAATTCCCGGGAAAGGGCCTGGGCGATACTGACTAGGCAAGGTCATTCTGGCTTCCTTATCGTTTAGGCTTGGGGTAAGAAAGTACACGAGTCGTGTATATCAACGGAGGATCTTATTTTCTGAATCATGCAAGCGGCAATATCACGAAACTTCCAGCCAGTGCATCAGAAACCACTGCAGAGATAGCTAAGGCAAAATCTTTGTCGCAGATGAACCGCTATATAATGGAAGTAAGACCGTCTGTTGAACAGAGCGCCGAAATACAACCAAACTCATCTAGGAAGTCAGAACACACGGCGGTAAACGGTTGTCTAATTATGGATATGCGTACGGTAATTACTCCAAAGTTTCAACATAGTCTCTTAGATGTAATTCATGAAGGACATCTATGAGAATGGAAAATGAAGATTTTTGCCCATTATTTGTTTTTGCGACCGAACAGGGACAAGGATATTGAGGCGAATAGAGAGGCATGCTGAACATGCGCTTGTCTCCGATCGTAACAAAACGTTTCTCCTACATCAGTGGAAATTTCCCGAACGACCTTGGTATTGAGCTCACACAAATATCGTAGAATGTAAGAACACCATGCATTTGATGTTCTGGCATAAAATACCAAACCACATGGTCAGCGACAATCGCCCACATCACACTAGCGCAACGTTCAAGGATCTCCTGGAGCAGCAGGACAACCAGCACATTCTAACAAAGACTTACCACCCTAAGTCAAAGGGATTGGCCGATAAGTTTGTCAGAACGCTGAAGGGAGCTTTATAAAAACCAAGAAGGAAAAAGAAAAAGAAGGAATGAGACAGTTTTCCAGAAGTACAGGGCAGTGCCGCGCTCCATAAAAAGACAGCCTTCGTGCCAGTTGATAAACAAGCGACGCTATAGGACGACATCCGACTTCATCGAGCCTGCCGAGAGTTCCGAAGAGCTTCCTGTTTAAACCTTTGAAAAGACCTCCAACGACAAGAAAATTCGTGACGGGGCGTTTCGAAGAAATCAGGAAGTTTCGATGCAGTGTAGGCTAAAGGAGAACCACTGGAGCCAAGGTTTCATCACCGGACAAGAGGGACGCGTATAGTTTGAAATCCCCGGGTACACAAAGATCAGTCCAAGAAAAAGGAGCTACGAAAAAGATTGAAGAGCGACGTAACTCCCAGTTCTGGTGATCTACTTAGACACATGTAATGTAACGCAGGCTCTATCCGGTGCAACAGATTCAACTGTCAAAACATCGGTAACTACAGCTCATTCTACCGCCGTTGGTTTGTATCCAACGAGGCGACGAAGTAACCTGACCATTTCAGCTTCAGTCTGAGAAGAGAGGAATGTAGTAGCGTAGACAGTGTCTCTAGACGACGACGAACCGGCGATTGGCGCAGTTTGCGCTCTTGACGTTATTGTGCAATGTTGGTGGTCGCGAAGAGCAGCCAAAGCACACGCAGGTCTCAAAGCGATAATAAACCTGCGTGTATGTAAAAAAAACAAGCGTCTGGCATGCACTCTGTTACAAGCGCTCTGCGCTTGATTGAATGAGTTAACAGATTAGCATACATAACACCCTGAAATTCCGATTCCGGCAGGGTACGCGCTTGGTGAAGTCGGCTGCACTCTGGCATAAGGGGGCGGTGCAACGATATTCGATTAGAATGTTTTACACTTTACTCGAGCTTACTGGCACTAGTGGGACTCAAGGATACTCGCACGCAACACCACTCTCCAAGAAACTCGTTTGTTGCGATGAAATTGCAAGGACAAAAGCGAGCGTTGTCATTTAATCTCTCATTCGCAAAACTTGATGCGGTAGTTGGGCGGTCGTAGTACCGTCAAGGGACGATATTTGAAGGATGTTTACAGATTGGAACCGAGCAGTGCGTGGCCACTCGATTTGGACTCTTGATAATCTATAGTTCGAGAAGCATTCGGGTAGTGGCCTGTGTCGAATCGCTGCGATAACGACAATTGCTGAACCATAACAATGTCTGAAACTCAGCGTGAGTCTTGAGCCTTGCCTACCCTACTACGTGGCCATGATCAACATTGTTGGCATATAATGGGCTCCAAATCACGTGGCCGCTTGTTCTGGCTGCGAGTTGAGAAGGTGAACGCTGCTTGTTTTTCTTTAATTGTTTCTGCGACTTCGATTGCGTGTGGTAAAAAAACAAACAGGTGTTTCAAAGGTCTTTAACGTCAGAGATCTCTTCTAAGCGGTACTTGTGCAAAGTACAAAAATCGTAGCACCGTCTCTTTATGATAAAAAGTAAAGTACAGATTTCTAGCGCTAAGGTTCCTGCAACGCTTCTCCGACAGTTGCGTTTGGCGTCCTGATCTTGCAGTGCATCAAACGTGATCCCGACATGGCAACCAATGACGTTAGAACAGCCGGAGTGCTATTCTGTTGGATGTCGTGATCCTGGTGGTTGGTGCCTGGAGTCCCAGTAAAAAAGTACGAGCGAACGCTAGTGTGGCTGCTGTTACGACGTCTCAACTCCTCGCTGCCGAATTTTTTGGGGGCTGCCAAGCTGGAAATAGACCTTTAGCAGAACAGGCGACTGCCATATCCAGCACCGCTGCTGTGACACCGCCAGGATTGTGACCGGCGACAGCACACTTTTATGACGTCATCAGGCGGAAATCGAGGGACCACATTTTTTAACGCAATGACGTAACAAAACGCGAATCGTCATGCTGACGATGTGGTGACCCTGGCGGTTGGTCGTAGAAATGCTGGGGAAAAGCACGAGCGAACGCGAGTGTCGCTCCCCTTATGGCGTCCCAACTCCTGGCTCCCGAAGCTTCCGTGGGGTGTCAAGCTGTAAAGCGACCTACGACAGAACAGGCGTCTGTCAAATCCTCCACGTATGCTCTGCATGGTCGCCACCGTTGACATCATGACCTTTATATGACGTCACAATACGGAAATGGAGGGAAAACTTTTGTGGACGCGGTAAAGACATCCCTCAGGGACGTTTTCTAGGCACCACGCTTTCAAATAAAAGTAGCAAAGTTACTGTTATCGTCAACGCAACGAAAACGTAATTTGTTACAGTCAGTTGCTTTCAAGAAGTAGTGGCGTTGCTTGTAAGTCTTTTTGCCATTAGTTTACAAATCAATAAAAAAAATAAAAAGTGTCCCCACCCGCAAGTTATTATTAAACGTACTAGTAAATTTTATTTGAATCCGTGCAAACAAAAAAATTAGTAGATTGTACTGCTTCGATATAATATCTGAATGCTGAAGAAAGCGTGAGAAGTGACGACGAAAGTAACATTGTTGCTCTCAACGCTATTTTATAAAAAAAAAAAAAAATAGATCTCTGCAGTTACAAGTTAGGTTTCAAAAAAGTTGTCCATGACAGTTGAAATGTACAGAGAAAGTTACAGTGCCGTGTTGCTACCCAAAACGGGAAGATTCACTGCGCTTGATGACGACGTGTTCCAAAAACAAGTCGTCAGAGACGGCAGTACGCAGAAGAGTAATTTGGGAGTGGTCTTTATATTCTCTGGACAAGTTTGTTTTCGGGAATAAACCTGAATGCTTGACAAACAAGATATATCGATTGAAATTGCACTCTTAAGTTTACAAAATGTGGAAGATGATGTGTTCACAGCTTACCCTACTATGATACTGGAGACTTGGAGTCCGGTGCTCTTTCCGATAAACATTGTGCCACTTCACAAATGCTTCCTGGATTCCTCCCTTTATTAATGTGTATGATTGTTAGAGGGGGTCAAAATACAATTTTCAATAAAGAAACCAGGATTACTCAGGGTAGTATTATTCTGTTCTTGTACATGTCTTGGTTATAAAAATATACTGGGCTTATCATTTAGAAGTGTACATGTCGCTTTACGTAGAAATATTTATGTTAGCTTCATAATAATTATGAGCCTGCTCCCAATAAAGTTTCAAGCTTGAATGTGAGGATATCGTATTACGTGTTTGAATGCATTGAAGTTTGATAGGCAAGCAAAATCCTCGATTGTTTTGAGTTCTGCATGAAGGGCTTGTAGCATTGTGTATTAAGATGCATTTTGAACGCCTGTGGGATCACCTAGCTTCTCCTTTTTATATTCAATTTTAGGCCTAATTTTTTTATACATATTGAAATATATTTTTGCGCTTCTCAAAAAGCACTAAAATCAACCATAAGCAAAAAAAAAATGATTCGAACTTTTTTATGTGGAACTTTTTTTATGTGGTTTTTATGTGGTTTATGTGGTTTTATGTGGATTTGCGGAAAGCCCGCGTGCTCCCGTTTTTTGGTTCAGGTATAGTCCCAACTGCCTTTCACAGAACTTTTAACTGTGGAATCTAATCGTATTAAAACTATCAAGGGGATCAATCGGTGACCAAGTGGGCCAGCGGTCACCAGCTCGGAGCACGTGGAGCGAAACCTCGCTCTGCTAAACCCAGAAATCGTGTGTTCAATCCCCACTTTTGCCCGTTTTGATCTGGATGAACATCGTACCGGCATGCGGTTGTGAATCATTACTTCGTGGTGCACGTTAAAGACCCCAGGCTAGCGGCTGTGCTGCACTGGCTAAATTACTCATCTACTGCGTGTGACTCGTCGGTACTTTGAAATGGCTGACCAACCACACGCTGTATAAATATTCGCACAACCCAAACTATTTTGAAGTACAATTTGATCACTTCTAAGCGGTGTTTTTAATTATTTAATAAATGATTTTTTACGTTATGGTCAGTTAGGAGTGCTAATAAGGGTTGCCTGAGATCGATAAAATTCTTGATTAATTTTAACAAACAGATATAGAATAGACTGGCATACCATTCATTCTTAAAGGAATGAAGGAGCTCACCCTTTTAGGTATATATTTGGACTTTCCAAGGTCCTCTTCTGTAATAAATAATTATTCTGTCAGCTTAGTCAGAAGAGAAGGCATATACTGATAAATTAAATTCCAAATTACTATTATCGGAGACGAAGTTTTTGTTTGTGTGATAAATATTGTCACTAAAAGAAGATATTCGTGGTAAATTTTTTTCAGTTGTTCCTAAATCATTACTGATTCCAGTTTCAACTGACCGTCGTTTGATATTAGAAGCCATGTATTACAGCGACGCTGTATATGACTCGTTGGTAGGATTTCTTCGCATCGGCGTTGTCACAAAAAAAAAAAAAACTTTTTAGCGATTGAAGAGAAAAGTGCGTTCATCACGCTTACAACATACAGCACAGCATTCGTTTCAGTAAAGAACAAGCAGAAAAAAAGGGTCCGAATCAGGTAATTGATGATGAGGCTCTCCTGCAAGCAATGCAGTGCACGTAGACCTCACCATTTACCGGTGAAGATTACTGTTGCGCAAGCTGCTGCGGCGACGGAAGCTTGCGACGTAGGGAGTGAAGTCTCTAAAATATATAAAATCAGAGCCTTCTTTACGCTCCGTTCCAGCTTAGCCCGTGATACGCTTTCCGTGTGTCGCTGTGCAACTTCTCTAAGGTTACGTCTCACTCACACGGACCTGGAGTGACTCCGATGGCTCGTAACATCCGCGGCGCTTGGAAGCAAGCTGAACCGTTGTATAGCAACTGATTTGATTGTTGTGGCAGCACCGCTATGCGTAGGTCATGCATAGTTAGGATTCCCGAGGAGCAGCGTGAACATGGGGAGCGGCAAACGGAAATCAAACTGCAATACGACCAGCGGCGGCGTGCTGCGCCCAGGGGCGGCATTTGGTAAAGTGCAGTGGGCAATACCAAATGCAGGTGATACCACAGCTTCGCTGGTCAACTGCCTTTACTGCCTTGATTAAAGTCCCAATGTTTTTCAATGGTACGTTCATGGGATAGTTTTAATATAAAATGATTAAATCGACGATTTCCAACAAACTACTCAAAGTAGCGAGATCAGTGATGGTGTAGTTGTGTTTGAAAGAGATATGAACCTCAAGTGTGTTATGACATCTTAGTAATAAGCTCAGGCAAAAGTACAATTAAGATCCCCGGTGAAGACACGTATTGCATAAAGTAAAAAAAATTTGCTAATAAATATTCTTCACATGGTTGCGGCGTACATTTACATTGTGCTTCTATTTCGGGACGATTTGCTGAAACAAAAACACGTTTAGATACCGCATTTTACACAAAATGAGTCCCACGATGCAGATAACGTGGTACAAGCATTTGTTTCATTCTGGGAAAGTTCTTTTTTCCACACGTGTCTTATTCAGGGTGGTATAGTATTGTTTAGGAGTACAGTGTTCCTGGGAGATCCTATAAAAGATAAATATGCATCAAATTGTTTACACGGCCCGTATTAACATACGATGTCGGTAACATATTTAATTATAAAAGAGTGAGGCAAGAAAGTCTGATTACATTTGTAATTAAAGAGTGCATCCTCGACATAAATATTTTTCACTTTTGAGTTTCTTGCAATGTTTGGTGGAACTTATCCGAAGCAATGATTGACTGAAGATCTGATTCTTTATAACAGAATCTGATAGGACAAAATATACTATCTAAGGTGTTTTTACACCAGAAAAACTTCCAACAGCGCGCGCATTGAATGAAATACCCAGAATACTCGCATTAGTAAGAACATGCGAAAGTTGGCCAAACAATTAAAATAAATGGAGCGAGCAAACTCGCATGGAGGGCACATGGTGGAAAATGGCTATTTTGCGACGCTATTGGTTCTGATGACCTGAATGCTACAACGCTATCCTGGTGGGGTTTTGAGTTCTTATCGGACAATTGCTAGTGATTTCGGGTGAAGTATCGTTACCAACAAACTATGCAATCGCCAAAGAAAGCGTCCATAGCAGTCAATTGGTTCAATGTTACCGTCAACGGCAAGGACTTTACTCGTTGGCACGAGCTCGATAGCAATAGCAAATAAACAGAAAGCTTTCGTATATTCTCGAAGTCGGTGGTTCCATCTATCTTGTCCTCAACGTCGAACACGCCATAAAGCGAATCTATGGCTTTTGTTCATTTATTAAACGTTTTGGAACTTGACCTTTCGAACTGAAGCACCTTGTGATCTTATACTCATTTACCGTAGCTTTAGTACACTTATGAGTACACCTACTAAAAGCAAACACTGCTCTCACAGCTTTCGGCTCAAGCACTCTAAATATTACTCCAAAAAGAAAACTTTGCCGAAACCTTGATCGTTTTTTTATCGCAGTAGTGACTAAACTTGATACTGGCTCTACATCCTGGGTCTCACAATGTTTTAGTAATATGGTCGTTATTCCACTTCTCCTGTGTGCTGCTTATCAATAAAAGCCAATTGTATACACATGGCATACTATCCAACAGGTGTATTTTGTGTTCACTAGCTTTTATAGCAAGTGTTTTTTAATGCTGCACAAGTTATTCCGTGTCTGCCACGTGGCGGTACTTCTAGCTAACATTAATATTTTGGGCGGCCGTACAAAGGGAGTGACGACTTTAACATAACCCGAGAAAATGGGAATAGTAATGAATTTTGTCCTTTTGTAAACGCTTTGCTGTCCCCTAGAAATGCAAGCTACGTGCTACTCTTAGTCCCACAGTTAAAGATTCTATAGTTTAATCCCCGCACGTGTCCGTTTTCATCTGAATGAGCACAGTACCGGTGCATGTCAGTGTTTTCACTACTGTGCTAGGCACGTTCAAGACTCCAGGCTAGAAGTCGCAGATTACTATCAATATCTCTCTCCTAAAGTGGAGACCCCAGAAACGCATAGAGACTGACTAGCTTCTCGCTATCTAAATATACACGCAACATAATTAGAATTAGATAAGATGTCATCTATTACTCACAAATGTAACGCACATCAATAAAATAACAGCCGCTGGCATGAGTCGATATGTGCCTGTCAATCCATTCAAAATTTAGGGGCATAACAGAACCTCAATGTGTAACTTACCTTCAGAGGTGACTTCGAACACGAGTAATGCAGCGATAAGAATTAATACAGTACCCTTCATTTTACTGTAGACGTTTGAAGAATGGAGTAAAACTGATTTGCTGTTTCTTCAGATATACGTGAATTTATAGGGGTCCAGCAATGTTGAGCACTTGTCATCCAAAGCCAAATATCATTCATTGTTTTATTCTGCAGAGAAGACAGCGATGTTATTTTTCAGACACATGACGGACATCAAATATCTGCTTGGTTGAAATTCTTTTGTTGTTTTTGGCCTTCTATTGGATAAGTGCAGTTCAGAAGAAAACCTCTATTTTTTGCCCTATGCTCTTCCGAATGGAGTATGAAATTGTATTTCTTGAGGGATGTTTCAAATCTCAAACGCTCTATGTTAGCTGCATTTTCAGGAGAGAATTCGGATTTGATTTTGAGGAAGTCAGTCATTTGAGGTTCGAAGTTTCTGTTCACTGTCTTTTTCATTTTCCCCTTTGATCACCTACGTCGGATTTCGAGCTATTCATATGCGGATCCACATACAGAATTATGCACTGAGCTCGCATACACCTTTATGGTGTAATCAACATTGCCTTATGTTGTAGAAACAATAAATTAATTAGGAGTTAATGCCAATTTATCATTTTTGTATTTTCCGCTGTTACAAAAGAACCACGTGATTGATTTGAAGCAAATATTTCCTCGTCTTGACTAGTGTTGGTAAAATAACTACTAAATATCTGAAGAACAATTTTGTTTACTTTTCATTAGATGAAAGAAACTAGAGTGTCTAAGAGCGTCTGGTAACCATGTTCTAGATATTGTATGTTGTACTTAAGATATTGCAAATGACAGTTCTTTCGTCGCATAGCTTCTGCACAAACGCCCAAGAAAAAGTTAATTCTGCGTCCTAAACTTTGCTTGCCTAAATATTGCACAAACATCCGAATGATCTTGACCAAGTGTTTATATCCGTAACCGTTGAAAAGCCTTACATAGAGGCTGGACGATTAGTGCAAAAGCACTCTTCGATGTTGCGCTTCACATAGGAAGTGTCGCGAAGGCGATCAAAACATGGTCCGATTCGTTCGTCAGGCAAGAATCGAATCCTTTATTCTCGAGCCAGCAGCGCTCTCGTGCTCCCTGACCTCGGCTCGCGGCAGTGCACGAGCGTTCGCGCCAAACTGGCGGATTTGTATGTAGCAGCTTTTGCCGATGCTACAGAAAGCTTTTAAAATCTTAGTTAACACAATTGAGGTTATCTTAGAGGATGGGTCGGCACCAGACGAAACGCAGGCCGAATGCTACCTGCGAGGCAATATTATTCGGGTCCCAGATCGGTATCATCACTATCCTCTGCCCCCTTTCCCCCCTCTCCCCCCCCCCCCACACACACACAGATACACAGTCATACACACGCCATTCTAACCCCCTACGTACTCACAAACACTTTCCAGGACTGATGGCTCAAGAAATAATGTTTGTTGCAAACCTGGTGTCGCCGGACGTATTAACTGCGAAGTATCACGCCTTCTGGTTTGTCCTCTGATTCATAGATTGCTGGTTTAGATCTTCTCCACACTCATCAGATTCACATATGCACAACGCTTATTTCACATTTGTACTCGTACTATTACATTTTAGCATAGACAAAGAATTAGAACGCAGATGAAACACGCACAAAACACACACAATGACACACTAATTCAATTTTTTTTATTGTCACATGCTAATTCGATCGCCAACCCCAAGAGCTACCCATGCGCCTTTTATACTGATCAAAAGAAAGGAGTCGTTTTGTCAATGACCATCACAACCCTGAGCAATGTCACAAATATGGTGCTGTTTTCGCACCAATATTGTTTTCCTATATTAATGCTAGACCTTCCAAGGAGTGTATCTCTTACTAAGAAGTAACGGTACAAACAGTATTTGTTTGTGACAGTCTATAAAACAGCGTGCTAATAGGCTCCCAGCTCCCATGTTCTCGCTTCGCCGCATAGGCGGCCCCACATTCCGCATGCGCGTCTCGGTGGCAACCGCATCGTGTCTTGCGAAAAAAAACAAGAAAAAAAACAACAATACAGGTTTTATAGAATACAAAAAAAAAGACAGAATTAACCTTTTTCGTCTTTGGAAACGTCTTCAAAACGTTCTACGCGGCTATTTTCATCCCAGTTAAACCAAAAACAAAATATAAACGCCTTCAAGGCACGTTTCGAAGCATGCAAAGGGGAAGGACGCCAGGACAACGGTCAAAAGCCGCATCGCCAGTGCATCAACAATGGCGGCGCTCGACTCAGCGCTGGCTTCCACGACGTACTGGAACATGGGCTACGATCATTATAAAGTGAGCTCCAACCCTTAAACACGGCCCCTCCTACAATTTTTGATGCTACAATGTGTCTGTGGCTGCCTCCCCCTGCGTCCCAAAATAGTTCGTGCGTCGCTAACGCTGGCTATTGGCGATGCAGCAGACGCCGCCATCTTGTCCTCGCGTCTTTTGCTCCACACTGTTGCTCCCGCGTGCCTCTCGCTGCTTTTGCTCCCTATTGAAAAAGGCCAATATGAACTCGGCTTATTGGAAATATTGTATTCCAGTGAAGTTGATGGAAACCAATAAAAACTTATTGTTATCCGATTAACCCAATACGCACGATGGGAATTCATATCGGAGCACAATATCCCGATATTGTATGCGGTTATTGGTATACAACAGGATATTGGAGCACAATATCCCGATATAACTTGCGGTTATTGGTATACAACACGATATCGAAGCACAATATCCCGACAGAACTTACGGTTATTGGAATAGAATACGACACCGCGTGCATATCGGTGACCGACATGGACATACTGTGCGGCCACACGATATATAAATATCGGTCGTCGATCACGGGCCCAAAGGAGAATACAATATCGCGTGGATAAATCTCAGGACGAATTCCAAGTTACCAACATGAGTTACGTCGGCATATACCGCGGAATAAGAGGATTCGTAACACAGTATTGATCGCCCGTGAAGCAACATGTGGATATCGGTACGCCCACAATACGACATCGCGTGAATGATATTGTAGAACAGCAGGAGTTACCATACGGCAATACGAGAGAGAACGATATTGGAGGTGGATACACACAGAACACAAACGTTCCGCGTTGCAAACACATTCACATTGATCGAAAGCGCAAGTGTACGTACGGCACACAGTACACACAGCCTCGAGCGCTTGAAATGCTAGACAACCACCAAACCATTCAGAATAACTAGCTGGGACACCCGCGACCTACCTTTCAATGAGAAAGCCCAATAACGACGTGCTCATTGGAGTGATCGTTTTCAAACAAATGTTTATTGCAGTTTTAATGCAACAAAAGTTAGGTTACCGATGTTGGAACCCAAATCGAACGCGATACGTGACAATGTCAGTTCGCACGATAAAATAAGGAGGATTAATGGGCTTGACAGGTCACGTGCTTCTTACCCGCACATTTATCGATATTGACCCACCTTTCTGGGTAATCCTACGTCGTACACAAAATCCACAACCACACGCGAGCACATTTCACCCACCACTCTTCGTCGCCTTTTTCGCAAGATTCACGCACTGTAAAAAACGACGGGAAAAATACGTGCATTTGCGCCATCAAACGATACATTACAGACTCGTTTTATGAGAAAAGTTTCCATCGTCAACCCGCGCGCGCGAAAGCTCGAGCGCTCGAGCTTCGGAGGCAGTTCGAACTCCGAAGGGAGGCGGGAGGCGAGCCCAGCGAGCCGGCGCGCCTGCGCGCATGCGCTGCCAGACGAACGGCTGAGCGAGCCGCCGAGATTGCGCCGCCATTGCGCAACGACCGCGACCGCGCCAACCCAGCGAGACGGCGGCGATGGCGGGGCCGACGGATGACAGCTCGTCAAGTTCGTCGCGGACTTTGCTTGTGGGTTCCAAGTGAAACCAACGCACTTTCAATCGCTTCGAAAGGTACGTATAGACGACTTTATTACTTGCAGCATTGAGTGCTTTGGTATACACACATCAAAGTGAACACTGAAGGACAGAAGGGAGACATGATGTTTTGAAATCGCAGCTTATTTGAACGCATGCGTCCCCTGCTGAAAGCGTCTGGCTGTGCTCTGTTGCAGACGTCATTTCGACTGCGTGTACTCTGATGTAACGTCAGTCAGTGTTTACACTCGGCTAGCTATCACTCGGCTTGTTATCTCATGTGCGAAATAGACGTAGAAACCAGCGCCTCGTCTCTTTCGGATATTCAACCTCCAGCCCCCTGGCTCCCAGCGTGCTTACCGGCGCAAACCGTTCGACGTGTTGGATTCGTGGGCTCGTTCGAACAGGCGTTGTTTAACGCTCACGAGTCGCCGAAGTGTTACCGGAGCTTCTCTTTACGAAAGTCGCGATCGACGCTGGGCTCTGAGCTCGTACTTTTTTCTTCCCTGGTAGACTAAGAGTGCCGACCATTCATCTGTGGTGCCGACTGGCGCCGTACGAAGTTGAGAAAAGCTAGCGAGTCTGTCAGATTTTCGTGGCGCCGCCCAACTGCTCTGCTACCGGCTGCGCGTAACAAATTAAGTAAACAAAAAAAACGCGTTTTTTTATTTTCAAAAATTTTTTTTTGCCATGTTTCATTTTAGTCGCCGCAAAGTAAATCGCGGCCGTACGTCGGTTGACTCCCGATTACTGTCTCTACATCGTAGATTGTCTCACCACACTGGTGCCTCGTTGGTGTGATCTTATTCTGATATCGTTACATCTTGCTTTTTCATCTTGGCACACTTCTAGACGACCTTCTACACGTTGCACTCCATGTCGACATGTCGCTGGTGATAGAGACAAATCTGAAGTCGCTGTTTGCTCACTCCTTGGTGCACATATTTCATGTTCAACATCAGGTATCTGAAGGAGTCGCCATGAAACCCTGGAGCTTGTTTAGAGGTACCTCAACATACTGTATTCAAGTGTCGTTTTGTGTGTTATAGTTTCCTACAAAACCAAATTGCACTTTGTTCGTAATATACCCTATAATTCTTCACAACAATTAAAGTTG